CGTCAAGGCGGGAGTCAGAGTCCACATGTTTCTTCTCTAGTTGGCAAATCTACTTAAGACTCAGATACCGCCCAGTGGAGAAGGCTGAGGGTATATTCTGAGCCACAATCTTTCCTTCACAAAGCATATAGATCTATTTTGCCCTAGATCTATTCTAAAGTATGTCCGTAAAAAGTTCTGCCAGGAAACTTAGACGGATGTTGCTTTAGAATCTCTCAGATAGACACAAGGGCTCATCATAAAGGTGGGAGAGACTGATGGCTCCACCTCTCGGATGACTCAGAAGCTTTCAATAAATCTAGGAGTTTCTGTATATCAGCCTCCCAAGAGGGCCACAGCACAGCACCAGGCATGCAAACAAGACAGGGTCTCAATTTCCTAAGCCCAGTTTTGCATTCCCATCTGGACCTGTGTGGGTGGAGAAGGGAATAGGATTTGCTTATGGGTTTCAAGGAAACCTGCAGCAGGCAAAGCAGATATTCTCGGTGAACTAAGTTTGAAATGGTGTCTCTTTCCATTTGCATTCCTTCGATCACATCTGAGGCACGGCCCTTATCATGACTGTGTTTTTAACATGGACAAGTGCATGGTTCCTCTCCAGGCACAAGCCTGTGGCTGCAGTTTTAGTTGCCATTGCTAAAGGTTTCATTCAACATCACTCTGCCAGAAACTGTGCTTGGTAAGAGGTGTATTTACATGAACAAGGCCAGCACTTTGCCATGAAGGGAGACGGAAGAGAGACTATCTCACCTGGACTATTGCAGAAGCCTTTTAACTGCTCTCTCCGCTTCCTACCCCCTTTTTCTGTTTCCCCATTTCCCACAAAGTAACAATAATGATCATGATAAAATATAACTTAGATCATGTCATTGCTGTGTTCAAACCTCTCAAGGCCTCTAAATTCCCTGACTATGAAAGCTAAGTCCCTACAGTGGCCTACAGGCCCCACATAAGCAGGGCCTCTGCTCCTTCTCAGAGGTCGTCTGTGATGCTTGCTTCCTCGCTCCCTCCACGACAGCCACATGGACCTCTTTCCTGTTCTGTGAACTCACCAAGCAGCCTCCTACTTCAGGATCATCGAAAGTGCTCTTCCCACTACCTGAATTGTTTTTCATCTACAGACGTCAACGTCTCACTTGCTTCTCAAAAGTCACCTGATCAGAGAGACCTTCCCTGACTATCCTGGGAATGGCAGCCCTTATCCCATTTTGGGTGCCTACTAAAATACTTCACTTGTTTTATATTCTTTTATAGATTCAATTACTTATTACCTATGAGCCCCCACTAAAGCATCAACAGAGTCACACCTACCTCACAGGGTTGCAAGGGCTACATGAATTGGCACATGTGACATTCTTGGAATTGTGACTGAGACATGATGTCCAATGAATAATTATTAGTTATTATCACCATCGTTCTAATGTTTGTCCTGATGTTCTTCACCCTGTCCTCTTTCCTGCATATTTGTTTAAAATATTTCTTCATCTAAGAGTTCTCTGCACTGCCCCATTTGTTTCTGTAGATATTTTCTTGGTCTTTCTCATATTTGCTTTTGACTAAAGCTCCTTATTCTATATTATTTTCTTTGGCTGGCCAGTATGGAGATCTGAACCCTTGACCTTGCTGTTATCAACTCTGCACATGAACCAAGTGAGCAACCAGTCAGCCCAAAGCTCGTTATTTTAGCTAGAAGTAGTGACACAAATCAATGATTACTAGAAATGTTCACTCCTGTTTTATTCTGATCTGCTCATATACAGATATTAGTAGAGTCCTTCATCACACATAACCATATAGCATTGCAATTGTATTTTATTCATTGTATTTGTGATGACCTCATTTGGAGCATTCGATTTTGCAGATTGCCAAACACTGAGACACTGAGTTCTGCACTCTCAGCTGAAGCTGATTTCCCCCTTTTCTTCACCACACCAGCTGATGGCATTGTACCAAAGGTGTTTAGGAAAGGAGTTTGCTACCACGAGAGTCCAGATGAAAACCACTTGCTCAGTGCATGAGCGGAGATATATAACCACAGAGTTACAGCCATTTATATCAAAATTATAACCTTTTATATCAAGAATCAATAAAATCCTTGATGGATGTTGATTTCCTGGAGTATCAGATCCCACCATAAGTTTTCAATTATCAAGGGCTCTTTCAGAGAAGTGGCACAAACCCTCATTGACAGCCTCCCCTATTTGACTTATATACACGTGTTTGGAATTATATAAACAATCTCTTGTATTTATAGTCTTTAGAAATTGGCTGTCTTTTTGAAAACTGGCTCACTTAGGAAGTTAAACAACAGCAAAATCCATCACAACACATACAACAATAGTGGCAGGAACAAAAACTTCCTTCATCAGATGTAATAAAAAATTGCGGTTACTTGAATTTTGCAGATAACACATGTTAAAAATTCTGTGACCTATATAAATTTGTGGGTGGACTTTTGCTGCCACTAATTTTGGATATTGGAATTGAATTCTTTGGACCGATTTCTTTTTTTCTTTTTTTTTTTTTTTTTTGTCTTTTTTCCGTGTCCGGCAACGGATCGCAACCCTCAGTGTTGTCCCCGTACCGGACCGGGGACCGGCGACGGGATCGCAAGCCTCGGTGTTGCTCCCGTGCCTCGCTCAGCCAGCGAGTGGGAGCCGGTCTGTACGTGGGATCCGAACCCTCGGACGGGAGCGCTGCCGCGCTTCCCAAGCGGCGCACTATCCAGTGCGCCACCGGGCCGGCCCTGGACCGATTTTTTAAATCTGCTATTGGTTAGCTTGACAGAAGAATACTATTGCCAGTAATATCGAAACTTATTCCCTCAAAATACCTTGCTTAAATGTTTCTAATGACTGGATAGATGGATATATTAAAAGATACTTATTCTGGATGTTGTAGTGGGCACTGAAGATACATTAGTAAACAACAGGACATAAGAAGAACTAAAAGAGCAGAGGAACAGTACATACCTCAGGGTCAGGGGAGGAAGGGGGGTTGTCCAGAGAAGCCTTCCTGAAAGTGATGTTGAGGTTGATAATTGAAGGATGAGTAAGAGATTTCACATTATACAATAGATGAAGTCATTTTAGTAGGAAGTGATAGTTACCCTAAAATTTAAAGACGAGATGAGCAACAATCTAACAGAAGTTAACAAATATCAGTATACAATAAACAAGACTAGTTGCAACCCATCTTACAGGTACGATTGTCAGAAGACTTGCATTTGGATAAATAAGCTGCAGTTTGTTTAAAATAATGAATTGTCGTATAAATAGTATTTTGGGATCACAATCTACTAAAATATTAGAGATATATAACTGTACATATAATCTTGATGGATAGATAGAAATCATGATTGAATTTTTTTCCTAGACCTCAGTCTCCCCCCCACCTCACCAGGATGCAAGGATTGTACTAGTGACAATCCTTTTTTACTGGTGTAAAAAAGGTTGCAAAATTCTAAAAGTCAGAGACACAAAGGGGACCTCTCAACCCACTACAAAGTTTAACAAACAAAAATGTCTTTACTCTCAGAAAATTACATGCACACACACATACAAACACACTAGGAAAGAAGAGAGGTTTTTTGGAGAGTATTCACTGAGCCTAAGAGTTAAGAGAACAGAACATGGCTAAATACTTTGGCCTTGTTTGGAGGAAACTGGAAGGTGCTGTGCTAATAACCCCTGAGGTCTGAGGAATGCTTGAACAGAAGTTGAGGTTCTGAGGGCAGGAGGCTTGCTGAAGGGCTTGAGCCAGCCAGCATGAGCAAGAAGACCACACTGTCAAGTGATTAGAAGGAGAGGGCAGGGGCACTGGTATCTCAGTCCCTAAGGAGTTAGAAAACGAAGCCGACTCATTTTTCCAGAACACAGTGAGATGATCCTGGAGATCAGCAGCTGTGTTGGGTTATTTTGGTGGCTGCTCTGTCAAGGTGGAAAAAGGGGATGGGATGTGCACTGTAGGTGGGGACTGAAAGAAGATGTGGTGACCCCTGGAAGAGGGGGAAGTTCTTTGAGATGAGCAGGCTAGGGTACAACTGAGCATTGCCAGATAAAAACCCGAGCGCCATGTCCTACAAAACCACCTCATCATGTTAGCCCACCAGTATTAGCCTGAAGCAGAGACAAGAAGCACCCCCTCTGCCCTTACAGGGCTTGCTGTGGCAGTGGTCACCGCTCCCAGCACCTGGTGATGATTATGGTTATGGGTGGGTAATTAGGCAGCTTCCCACTTATGTCAACTCTTTCTTATCTCCTCTTCCCTTCCTGAGTGGAGTATAAGAAGAAAAAAACAGGTCCCGAAAACTGGAAAGGGCCTAAGGAAAGAAAGTTCTGAAATTAAGGTTATAAGCAAAATGGTTGCAGACACTTTAATAATTGGATTGGGTTACATAAAGCACTGCATTGATTTAAT